AGATTTTACACAAACAGTTTCCAAAGTATCTTAATGATTTATTCTTATAACAATATCAATAATTATGAGTTCCGGGTCAAATTTCGGCCTTTATTATGAAATGGTAATGGTGGGTTTTGGTGATTTGGCCTATGATTGAAAATCAGTATTGATTTTGTCCGATGTCTTTTCATAGGTAATCTACATATTTTTTAACTTTTCAAATAGAAATATAAAAGTATATTTGAAATATGTGACTAACAATATATTTTGTTCCACCAGTGTTATTTATCAGACCAGTGTATTACATACAGTTAGCAGACATAATTAATAATATTTATCAAATTCAATCTATCAGGTCGGCTGACATAGAAAATATTTTCTTTTGTTTTGTTCTTTAAGTTTAAAATTAATCCATAAACATTAGTAAAATACTTGTTGGCTATATTATTTGTTACGTTAAGAAATGCGAAAATAAACCTTTCTGTGTGGTTCCACTAGCCACCCGCCTCCAGACACAATACATTGATAAATATATATTGAACATAGTGAAACTAGTCCATAGATTTAATACGTATCTTTGTATTACACCGTCTTCATTAGCCCACAAGGTGCAGAAAAGTAGGACGTAAAACTCCATTCATTTCATTTCATTTGTATTACACTACTTACAAGACGTTTTATACGTTAAACAAATTAGTCACATCTAGACTGGGCTGCGTCAAAAGTGGAATAATAATAATAATAATAATAATACTAATCTTTTAGGTAAAAAATTTGGCCCAAAAGTCTTTCTTAAATTTCTCCCAAATTATATACATACAAACAAAACTAGAACTGTTCTATTAACAGTACTGATGCAGGGCGTGTTACGACATTCAGGTACATACGAAGATGTGCGTGGAGTTTAAAGTATATTGACTAAGAATAAGAGAATGTTTGTCAATTAATAAAGACCAAGTTTGATGAAATTCGGTAAGAAGAAAGTTGGTAATGCGCATGGGCACAACTAACAATAATTCAATATTTCCATCAAATCTAGAATTTGATTATACACATACATACCAAGTTTGGTGAAATTTGGATAAGAAATAAGAAAGTTGTGAAATCTATAAAATCCATAAAACCGGAAGCACGTATCAGGCATGAAAATATTAACATCATCTAAAAGCTGTAGTCAATATTAATTATTACTGGAAATATCAACATCATCCAAGGTTCAGCTTTTGAGATAGAAGTGTTCAAAGTTTTAAAAAATTCCAACATTTTTTTAAATATGGCTTTGACACCATCAAGTGCGATATTATTTGAAACCATTAAATAAGTACATAAATAATCTGAAGGTGGTAGCGTGCTAATAGTAATACAATTAGGGATTTAGATACAGCACTACAGAAGGGAAAATTGGCCATATTTAAACCACTATAAAACCAAAAGGTCATAAGAAGGTCAAGGTCAGCTTTTATCATCATGGTAAATATGAATCTCATCAAAGGTCAAGGTCACGAGATATGAGCCTTCAAATTTCGAAAAAATTGAACCAGAAATTGCAAAAAAGCAAAAACGAAATTCAAAAATCGGCTTCTTAGAGTTTTCTTAATTTGTTGTGTTCTTTCATTTGACACCAAAATCATCAAAATCGGATAAGCCGTAATCTCTGAATGAAATAGAACACCGAATATGCAGATCCAATTCATTTCTAATCTTGCTGTAACTATTACCGTTTCTGCAGAGTATTCGACACAAACTCACACTTTTTTTTAAAGAAGATCAATCAATAACAATTATACAAACAATATCAAATTGATAATAAAAGAAACATGTAATAATAATAATTTAATAGAATTATATACAAATTTAATCAGAAACTTTGGCTATTTGATTTTGAAATGTACACTGAAATATTTTTAAGAAATAATTTGGGATTATTTGGGATTATTTGGTATTTTCATTGCTTGAAAAAGATTCCTGTATGTGAATTAAAACGTTGCTTAAATTAAAGAGGAGTAGTATATCTATAATAGTAGTTTATTTATATAATTTGGGATTGTTAAAACTTTCGAATTTGAAGGTAGGGTATTGCAAAACTACATTTAGCTAGGGAAATAGATATGTTATGTGTATCGGCAACTCTGATAGCATCAATTTGCACCATTCCATTCCAAACACTTAGTTTTAGTGGAATTGCATGAACCACAGACGTCTGATTGAAAATTGGAAGGATGCAAATTGATGTTATCAGTGTCCGAGATACACATAATAAATCTAAAAAAAAACCTCTTTACAATCACTTTAACTCGTTTATTGATATTACTGTAAGGAGTAATATAGAATTTAAAATATGTTAGACAGATATGTAGGGTATTGATTATTCAATATTTTATAAATATATTTCAAAGAATTTAGTTTGTGTCATGAAAAGATATCTATTATATTGAAGTTATACCAGGATTTTAAATGATTTATTAATTAAATTAATTCCAATGCTAGTTTAAGAAACTGCAATAATCAAATATAGGTTGAATATAAACCTTATAAAATATAGAGCGATGGACATGTACGGTGGCTCACATAGGCTACAACACTTTTATTTCACTTTTTATTTTGAATTAAAAACTTGAATTATCACCTAGGTGATTTTTTCACAAGTAAAAATTAAAGTTTTTAATTCCAAATGAAAAGTGAAAAATATATCGTATGTGAGCCACCATAAGCTAGGCTATATACAATTAATGACTTTTGGTGAGGTTGACATGAGGATTTATCAATACAAATGATGGAATATGGCATCCCTGATGTTGATAAATCCCATATCAACTGAAACCAAAAGTATTAATTTTCTCAGAGAGCTAATTGCACTCCGTTTTGCTGCATTTCGGTGACGCAGTTATCAGGTTATCAGGAATGTTCACAGCACAAATTGAATAAATGCGCGTAAGCGAGATCAAGATTAATTTTACCAGCCAACCTTTGACCTCATATACAACTATAACCGCCATAGGGTAACAGTTTATTGCTTATATTAACGTTCTCAAGACATGTCAATTTAAATAGGGATTCTAATTAGAATTTAGTATCAATTAAAGTAGGGACTATTTTTACGTTTCAGAGTGTGCGACATCTGACATGATTGTTGTCATTGGAGACCGCCTTTTTGAAACAATGACGTCAATAAATAACGACGTTATGGATGTGCTTAAATTTACGAATTTAGTATGAATTCTCCGTCTATATTGTATTTACAAATATCTGAACCAAATTGCTATATGAAATCTGTTTTAAAGTTATATTGCGTACAATGGTGTTTTATTGACAAGTAGGCCTAGACCAAATATCACCAGGCCTGGTTTGAACTGTTTTTAACTGTTGAATCGAGGATATGAGGATTCTACAACAGATGTAATATTTTCATTTTGCAAAAGTTGTTTATTTTTTATATTTGCAATTTGTTCGCAGAACTTAGTTCAACATTTGACCCCTAGAATATTTTGGTATCTGCAAAACCCAGATATATTTGGAAAGATGAATGTTTTTGTAGTTCAGTAATACCATCATTTTCTCCCTACACCATTTATGTCACATCTACGGTTCCATCAAAGTTATTTTTAACGACACAGATCTGGTATCGGCCATTTAAAACTGCGTGTTCAGCCAAAAGTTCAAAGTTCTCGGTTTCACGTGATACTAGGTGTGGAAAATCCCCATTAAACAGAGCTAAGTAATCGATGAAAATAAATGAGGATGATGAAGAGGACCTAATTTTTAATACACCAACAGATTATATTAATTTAGTATTAATGTCTGTATATGACAAAACATTAGGTAATATTAAACCAAAGTATATTTATGATTTTAATGTGAGAATGAAATATCAAAAGCAAACAGGAATATTTAAATGGGAGGGAAAACTATGAGAGATATTTCATGACGATTTTTTGGCTGCTACTTTTAAAAATGCCAGATGGATATGTAAGAATACAAAATTACATAATTTTCAATATAAATATTTACTCTTAATTTTAAACTTTTCAAAATGCATTTATCGGAGACTACATTATGTACATTTTGTAATAGTGATCTAGAAACTATTGATCATTTCTTTGTGCTATGTTCGATTTCGAAAATTATTTGGGATGAAACGGTAAAAAAATTTGAATAAGAAAAGCATTAATGTAAATTTCGGTCCAAAGTATATTCATTTTGGGTATTCTTGTAAAAATTATTTTAAAACCACATCAGAATTTGTATTTGTAAACCATGTTATTATATTGACAAATATACTTTCTATACAAATCAAAGCTTCAATTTCAAAAATTACTATTTGTATCTTCAAGATGTAGCCCAAACTGAACTTAATACCTTTAAGGGAGACGAAATCATCAAAAGTAAATGGAAAATACTTGACGAAGGTAGATGTTTCGGACTAATAAATGATCTGCTGGTATAAAATATAAATTTACAGTTTTTATAGAAACATCTGTTCAGTGGGAGACTTTGCTTTTACTATAAATACCCGATCACATTTAGCATTCGACAATGTATCAACAAGTCTCTATATAAATAATATCAACCAGTCTTGTTATTGCTAACGTTAGAACCATGAATAATCTATTATGTTCCGTTCTATTGATCTCTGTAACAATATTGATACTTGTAGATGCCGGTAAATATTTTATTTATTATCTAAAAATTGTATTATGCTTTGAATCTGAAGTCAAATGTGTAAATCTTGGCGAAATTTAGGTTGGCTTTTTTATTGTTGGAAGCCAACACGACGTTTATGTCCCTAAACACATTTTCAATCATCTTTGGCTGTTAGTAGTAATTCAACATGTCCTTCTTGAGACAAATACTCGATGATATAATTGTCGGGGGGTAGTGTGTCGAGTCGGAAGTATATAAGGGAAAAAAATAATATCAAAATTAAATTTACAGATTGTGTGCCCTATCCTAATGTTACAAACGCAAATGTTGATAACGACTGTGGAAATGTAGTCATTACATGTAGTACTGGCTTTAAGATGGTTCAAGTACCTGAATGTATTAATGGAGAATGGATATATCAAAAACCAATATGTGAACCCACAGGTAAGATAATTAATAAATAAACAATATTAGCTTTGTGCACTCACCTAAAGGGATGCTGAGTTGACAAACCAAATCGCTCAGTGAAGTTAATATGCCCTATTGCGATACATGTCATGATACATATTATAGTCAAGTTCAAATTTAAGAAAACTTCTGGAAATAGACTTCCTTTAAACTGAGTAGAAAAAAAAGGACGGGGTAGCGATCAAGAACTTTTTAACCTGTTCATATTTTATCCCTCCAATACCACTTTGCTTTGAAAATTATGGGCAGTAACATAGAGATATACATTCTACTTTTAAAACGAATTGACATACTTTGATATTAAAGGTTTAAAAATAACAAGAAATACTAGAACTGTGAACAGCTCCGAGCGTGGCACGATACCTTATCCCACGACTTTTGGAACTATCGAAACTTCTAACTTTTCCATTTAGAAAGAATTTGGGTGAAGAGTTCTATATACGCTGTTATTCATCATGGACCACAATATCGGCTTTGTTTGGCATAACGTCTATTTGTTCTTTACTAGCGACACCAAATTCATTATGACATTAGATTTACCCGAGGGAATTGTTACAGCAATAATTTGATGAGATTAAAAACAGCCTACCATTAGTGAACAAAATTCTTAAATCTGGATAAATTGGGAAAAGCCTCGAATTATGAACTCAATAAAAACTTCGTTGTAATTATAACAATACCAATTATTGACAATTTACGTTTATAACCTTGTATCAGTCTGTTTTGGGCTCATTCTTATTAGGACTAATTCCCATTTGAGCTACTATTTTTCCTGTCATTGTCTAATAAATCTATTTTTATCACATCACATTTTGATTTCACCCACCTCTACCCTCGGAATATTGCCAAATAGATTTATTTTTTTCATTTTAGAGTGTCCACAAGGTGTGAATATCAAGAACTCTGATAATGTAACAGAATCCAGAAATATTGATGAAGTTTTAACTTTTGAATGTTTTAATGGCATAAATGGTCTGATGGGAGCTCAGAGATGTGGTGAAGATGGTAAATGGATAGAAGAGCAAGCTTGTCCAGCAGGTAATTTAGGTTTAATATTGTCTATTGTGTATAGTTGGACGAAGATTTATATTTCTAACAAAGTGATCTTTCTTGTTAAGAAGACAATATGGCCTCATTATGATTGTTGTTTTGATTAACTGAGATCTTTCCAGAATTGTCTCTAATACGATTTATATTTCAGAGGTATACCCAGCAAAGTTTATAACAATTGTTAATTATGGTCAGGCTCTATCAACCAATTGTACTGAAGCTTGTCTTAACGATACCCGGTGTAGCTTTGCTGGACCAGCCACTTCAAGCAAATGCAATCTCTTTGAAGAACCCATTTTCTTTATCGGTTTTGCTCAAACTCTTTCCGATTGCTTCCAGTTATGTAAAAAAGACATAAGATGTTTGACATTATCTTTCCAATATTTCAATTGCAACTTATTCAGTGTCAACTACACCACGGTAGAAACTGAATATCCAATTACAGACAGTGATGAGGGAATCATTGTATCTGGCTTTTAATAACCTCTGACGTCATCATAATAAGATCACGTGGACCGAACATATTTGATTAAAAATAGAAGTTTAATTATGTGTTATTTGTTTTATGAGGGGGTATTATGTCAACAGCATGGTGAGTTGTTCAACACAACAATTCAAATTTCATAGTTTTACTGGGAATACAAAGTGGCACCGTTATAACATCACTCTACTGTCTTCATCTGACTTCCGTAGTATATACACGGGGGTTGTGTCACCACTTGTTCTTACCTTTAATATAAAAATTGTGATAGCTGTTTCTAAACACAGAGTAACACCATAGTGGTATACCAGCGAAAATATTTAGAACTTCCTCTAACTAATGCTGTTCCATCAACCAATTGTGCAGAACTTGTATTAACGATACCCAGATACCCTTGACCAATTATCTACATCAGATTGTTTCCAGTTATGTAGAGATGACACAAGGATGTTTGACAGTATATTTTTAACTTTTGCACTTTATTTAGTGCTAACTACACGACGGTAGAAACTGATTTACGAATCCTAAAGGATAACGGTGTATTAATCAAAGCCGTAGGACTTCGGTTTAAATTTTTTAGGGGGTAGCAGTGGTTCACTGAGATAGACGCTAACCTGAAGTTCTAGGGTCCAATCTCTACAGAGGTCGAGATAATACCACGGATGGGACAATAAACCGAGGCCCCGTGTTCTACAGGCTATGCACATTAAAGATCCCTCGACAGTTGGAAACCGAAAAAGTGCAGGCTAATGTCGCTGTCCTGGCAAAATTTCCCTCATGAAGAAATGTCCTTAAATGATGGTATTGTCATGTAGAAGAAGAAAAATACAAAGTGGAATACCATTACATATTACTGAAACCTGAAAGTTCAATGTTCAACCACATGGACTCACTCCACTCCTCTTTCATCATTATTCCAGTCAACCTGGCTGTAATTTGGCATTGTGTAGGTCATCTTTATTCCTGTTGACCTATAAGTAAATAGCTATTTAAATGAGTACTGAATAAATCGTATTTCATCATTATTTTAGTTGACTGGCTTAAAACCATTATTCAATAACGTATCGTTACATACGATTCTTGTTTACCACGCTGTAAATAGCTAGCTATAAATAATCAGGACAAACAGAGAGCCAATATTTGCACCGAAGATCGTCCAGGGTAAATTTTGGACAGTTAGGCTAGAGTTCATATGTACGAACCACGTGAACCCAAACCTCACGTCATCACCATATTATAAAATATCAGAAACATGTTTACTGTTTTAGCTCAATCGATTTAGTCTTAATATAGGAGTATAACGTAATAAATTAAAACAATTACAACACACAATATCTTTTTTAACATAAAACTGGCATCTCCAAAATAACTTTACCACGCTATGACCACGTGATCACAATCTCTAATCACCCTAGGAAATTACAACCTTAGATAAATTAGTTCACAACTCTTACCATTCTAGACCATTAAATCACAAATCCATACTTCCCTTGGGACATTAGAACCCAAATTCTTTGCACCATTCTTTCTATACCATAGCTTCTCCAACCCTTACCGTCACAAACTCTACCCTGTCTGTCAAGTTTCACATCGATGACTTATCAAACAGGGGATTGATGCGATTAACTTCGACATTCCAGATAATACAATGGCAGCCGCCATTTGTAATCACCATCCTTTTACACCAAATATTGCGAGATTCCTGATTGGATAAATTGAATGGTGACGTATGTTCTACCAAGGGATGTTTTTTCTCTCTATTAACTAGAATATGGGAGTAATCCAAATTTTAGAGAAATCTGTACCCTCTACTATTTCGAACTTAAAACATCTAACTATTACAAAGCCAAACTTCACAACAAGTTGAAACTACTTAATTATTGTGCTCCGTTTTTAAGTCAACCTTAAAAAACAAAATTAGTTTGATCAAGTAGATAACCAGATGTAAATTTCATATTCTAGAAATACGTTCTGGTATAATTTACGATAATGAAATTATTTTATTAGTGCCCCTATAAGACAAGAGTTGACAAAAATTCTTATCGCCTTATTGAAATAATATTACAAACCCTTACCTCATAAGGACTTTAGACCACAAACATTTTCCACCCTACAGATTGGATCACCTGTCCTTACTACCAGACGAACATTTATTCATAAATCTTACACCTCTAGGGCCAATACATCTTATCAGGCCATCATATCACTAACCCTGAACACCCTTATCATCTGGGACCATTGGATCACATGCCTTTACTATCCTAGGGCGTGTACTACCATGATTTTCCTCATGATTCCAGTCGACCCCAGTGTAAATGGGTACTGAATAATTCATTTTTTCCCACATTATTTCGGTTGGTCCTGCTGTAAATGGATACTGAATATATCATCTTCCCTCATTATTGCAGTCGACCCCGCTGTAAATGGGTAGTGAATAAGTCATTTTCCCTTATATTCCAGTCAACCCAGCTGTAAATGGGTAGTAAATAAGTCATTTTCCCTTATATTCCAGTCGACCCAGCTGTAAATGGGTAGTAAATAAGTCATTTTCCCTTATATTCCAGTCAACCCAGCTGTAAATGGGTAGTAAATAAGTCATTTTCCCTTATATTCCAGTCGACCCCGCTGTAAATGGGTAGTAAATAAGTCATTTTCCCTTATATTCCAGTCGACCCGCTGTAAATAGGTAGTAAATAAGTCATTTTCCCTTATATTCCAGTCGACCTGGCTGTAAATTGATACTGAATAAGTCATTTTCCAGCATGATTCCAGTCGACCCGACTGTAAATTGGTACTGAATAAGTCATTTTCCAGCATGATTCCAGTCGACCCGACTGTAAATTGGTACTGAATAAGTCATTTTCCAGCATGATTCCAGTCGACCCCGCTGTAAATTGGTACTGAATAAGTCATTTTCCAGCATGATTCCAGTCGACCCCGCTGTAAATTGGTACTGAATAAGTCATTTTCCAGCATGATTCCAGTCGACCCCACTGTAAATTGGTACTGAATAAGTCATTTTCCAGCATGATTCCAGTCGACCCGACTGTTAATTGGTACTGAATAAGTCATTTTCCAGCATGATTACAGTCGACCCGACTGTTAATTGGTACTGAATAAGTCATTTTCCAGCATGATTCCAGTCGACCCCACTGTAAATTGGTACTGAATAAGTTTATTTTCCAGCATGATTCCAGTCGACCCGACTGTTAATTGGTACTGAATAAGTCATTTTCCAGCATGATTCCAGTCGACCCCGCTGTAAATTGGTACAGAATAAGTTATTTTCCCTCATGATTCCAGTCGACCCCAGTGTAAATTGGTACTGAATAATTTATATTTTATCATTAATCGTTACTTATTCTTGACTACTGATAATCAGTACAAATAAATGTCAATAGCCAACACCAGCCGATATGTTTGTATCGAAAATCAGTAGATAGTGCAGGGTGGATTCATAGAACTATAGAAGTATGAGATATATAAATAATGTAATAACAATCACCAGATGTCAAGAAATATACCATATATAGATTAAAAATATATCCACATCGTGTTTTATGTTTCTGTTTCTTTATGTTTATGTATTGAAACGACACGTTTTCTCTAATTCTCTATATAAACTCACATAATTATCACTGATCATCAAACTTGATTATCGAATCAATATGATTACTAACGCTAATTTGATGTTGATGGTGGTCTTGCTTGTTGGTACCTTACCAGTGGCAAGTCCTAAACTTCAACCCAACATGGTGAAAAGGTTTTGGGGAAACAATGGTAAGTATAGAAAAGATCGCTGGGATCGAATACGGCTGGCAAAACATTCCTTTGAACTCTCCATAACCATTTGGCAAGCCACATGCCGCTGAGCGTAGACCGTTGATAAATTAAGGAAAATACTTGAATGTAATGCACCTATCTTATTTTGTTGTAGATTGTGATAAGTACATTCTGCCAATACATACGATGTGGATACCAAGAGAGAGCTGCGAGCAAAATAAGAGATTCAAGTGCCAATCCGGATATATACCAGAAGTTCAGACCATATGTAAAAAAGGAGCATGGTATTTGGAACCAACCTGTCAAGGTAAGAATCAGTATTTATACAGACTCTGTACATTGTGATATAGTTATACATGTTTCTTTTGTAAATAAAGTCAAGGAAATTGGCAGCTATTTTATAAAATGATATTTCGTCAAGAAGATAGGTATCCTTTAATGAAACGATGTACAGGTCGATTTTTCCTTTTACCATACCTTTTATCTATATGTCTATGTCTATGTACCATACCCCAGGTCATATTCAAATAAATCTATTTCATCATATTAGCTGTAGAGTGTCCACAAGGTGTGAATATCACTAACTCTGATAATGTAACAGAATCCAGAATATTTGATGAAATTTTTACTTTTGACTGTTCTGTTGGCTACACTAAGATTGGTAAGACGGGTATTCTGAGGTGTGGTGAAAATGGTACTTGGACAGAACAGCAAGCTTGTCAAGGTAACAGTTTTTATACGCCAACATTATAACAAATTGTTCGTATTTGACAATATTTGTATTATGAAAGCTTTTTGAGTATTTTCCTTTGAATTAGGAGAAACGCATCAAAATGTGTTTTTTGAACACAATACAGGCTTCAGTTAATTTGATTTAAATAATAAACTTAAACTTAATTAAATATCGTCTGTAAACACGATAGAGGTGACAGTTTATATCAGAATTTTATAAATTTATGGTTTAAAATCAACAATATCTTGGACAAGTTAGTTTTATGGATTGGGATTTGGATAGGTATCACATTTTACTTGTAATTTCACTAATCTCTACCTGATATCCTGATAGATTTATTTCATCATTTTAGTTGTAGAGTGTCCACAAGGTGTGAATATCACTAACTCGGATACTGTAACAGAATCAAGAATATTTGATCAAGCTTTTACTTTCAACTGTTCAAATATCATAAATGGTCTGACGGGAGCTCAGAGATGTGGTGAAGATGGTAAATGGATAGAAGAGCAAGCTTGTCCAGCAGGTAATTTAGGTTTAATATTGTCTATTGTGTATAGTTGGACGAAGATTTATATTTCTAACAAAGTGATCTTTCTTGTTAAGAAGACAATATGGCCTCATTATGATTGTTGTTTTGATTAACTGAGATCTTTCCAGAATTGTCTCTAATACGATTTATATTTCAGAGTTATACCCAGCAAAGTTTATAACAATTGTTAGTTATGGTCAGGCTCTATCAACCAATTGTACTGAAGCTTGTCTTAACGATACCCGGTGTAGCTTTGCTGGACCAGTCACTTCAAGCAAATGCAATCTCTTTGAAGAACCCATTTTCTTTATCGGTTTTGCTCAAACTCTTTCCGATTGCTTCCAGTTATGTAAAAAAGACATAAGATGTTTGACATTATCTTACCAATTTTTCAATTGCAACTTATTCAGTGTCAACTACACCACGGTAGAAACTGAATATCCAATTACAGACAGTGATGAGGGAATCCTTGTATCTGGCTTTTAATAACCTCTGACGTCATCATAATAAGATCACGTGGACCGAACATATTTGATTAAAAATAGAAGTTTAATTATGTGTTATTTGTTTTATGAGGGGGTATTATGTCAACAGCATGGTGAGTTGTTCAACACAACAATTCAAATTTCATAGTTTTACTGGGAATACAAAGTGGCACCGTTATAACATCACTCTACATTGAGAATTGGTCAGGCTTTCATTCGACATATTGGAAAGCGAGATTTCTGGAAAAAGTTATAGAAGGTTCAATTTCGTGTTTTAACATGGGAAGAGATGGCAAATGAATTAGTGGAGTGAGTCCACATGAATAATGGGAGGTAACTCTAGTCTTCCCGGGGTAAAGCGTTACCTGTGGGCGTCACTAATTCTCGTTCATAGACCTGGTTATGATTTGCTTGTGTTCCTGTTCGCCAAAAGTCTTCCTATTAAACCCCTACTGCTTGTGATTCTACTAATTCAACTCTCTCGCAAACTTAGGAACAGACCAGACGTATGTCTCCCACAGAGATAGGGGAGGATCCCCAAATCTGAGTACTGCCGAAACCTTGATCTTGCCTCTTTCCTCCCGAATACAGAATGACATTTAAAAGGGGAATATGGCTAATAAGTGCAGATCTAAATTTATCTAGATGTTGCTGAATTTGCCTTTGAAATACAAAGTGTAAAGCAAATATGTGGAGTTCATTATCTATGTCCAGAATATTTTGATCTTCCATGGAACAGCTGATAATAGATAGATGTGCCTCCACTCCATATTTAAATATGTGGATAAGTCATCTGATCATTTCAATACCTAATTAAGTGTCTTTTCGAGATAAATCCACATAAATCAAAGGAGCATGATTTTAGGTATTTAGGATGAATTTGCACTTATTTTGTTATAATAAAAACAAAGAACAAAGAAAATCTATGAGGATAAGATGATGCCCCTATATCAAAGTTACATAGAGCTAGTGGTTTTAACCATTCAATTTTCCCGATGAATACATACCGTTGATTATGTACACTTCTGCCTGAAATAAAACTTCCTATTCCTTTATTCTCAAGCATAAACTGGGCAACTTTCACGTTTTCTCCTCCTTTATCAGACTTCACTTTCTCTGGTATACCCCATTCTTCTATAGCCGTGATAAATACTTGAAGAACAGAATCAGCCTTGTTATTTGTATTTACAACTAGAAAAACTGGAACTCTTGAGTACCCATCAATCCCACCATGAATTACAAACCTCCATCTGATAAAAATCTAGAAGAATTCCTGGAATAATTTAATATTATTAGTGGATATAAGGGGAAAGTAGTCTAGTAAATGTGTGTAACTTATATTTTAACCAAAAAAGATGAATGTATGCTTCTACGTCTTTAAGTGACAATATTGTATTGTATTAACTAACTACCCTTCTGTGGGATAGTAACTTGTTACTTTCCAACCACCCTAATCTACAATGTATGAATTACAATTAAAATAAACTTTTTTACCCATCAATCCCACCATGAATTACAAACCTCCATCTGATAAAAATAAAGAAGAATTCTGTTATGGTGATTAATCGTTTGTAAACGTAAAACGTGATCCATTCACATCTGTTCACGTACGATTTTAATTTAGATCACACAATTTGAGCTTAGAGATGGCTTATATTAGAAAAATTCAGAGATATCCGCAAACAATAATATTGATCGTTTGCCATGTTGACATTAATAACTCATCACGTGTTAGTCACATGACAATTTAGCGACAATTCATTGGCTTGCATATGTAGGTCATGTCCTTTAAGGAAATATTGAATCCCTACGCTTCGGTGAAGAGTCTGTTTTGGATCCCTTCGCCACGTAAAGAGTCCGTTTTTCTTAATTTTTTTTCGTTCAATCGCACAGCTTTAGAAAAGTGGTAAGTAAGTTGTTTTGATGTGTTTTGGCATCATTAAATTTATCCTAAAATTTCATCATTTCATGTAGGGGGGTAAACAACTTTTGTGAAAGAAAAGCAATTAGACTGTTCAGTCCATGCACTTATACGATTCTTGACGACCAAGCTGTAAATAGCTATAGATAATCAGGACAAACAGAGCCAAGTGCCCAATTTTTGCACCGAAGATCGTCCAGAGTAAATTTTGGACAGCTAGGCTAGAGTTTAATGTTTACGAACCACGTGAACCCAAACCTCACGTCATCAACAGCTTTCAGGAAACAAACAATGTTATAATCAATTATAACATATCAGAAACATGTTTACTGTTTTAGCTCAATCGATTTAGTCTTAATATAGGAGTATAACGTAATAAATTAAAACAATTACAACACACGCCAGTGTATAGGAATCAGATTTCAAAATCCAATGTCTTTTTTAACATAAAATTTCTGCCATCTCCAAAATGCAGTCATAGGTCACATAACTGTTTTAAAATGTATTTAGTATTTGAATATGAGTTATATAAACACTTTCTGTCCTGCTATTAATTATATAACCTTATATAGCCAAGGACAACTAGATCACAAACTATAGCCATCCCAGGGCCAATAAATCACATAACTTTACCACGCTAGGACCACGTGATCACAATCTCTGATCACTCTAGATAATTACACCACAACTCCCTTACAACCTTAGGTAAATTAGTTCACAACTCTTACCATTCTAGACCATTAAATCACAAATCCATACTTCCCTTGGGACATTAGAACACAAATTCTTTGTACCATTCTTTCTATACCATAACTTCTCAAACCCTTACCGTCACAAACTTTACCCTGTCTGTCAAGTTTCACATCGATGACTTATCGAACAGGGGATTGATGCGATTATCTTCAACGTTCCAGATAATACAATGGCAGCCGCCATCCTTTTACGCCAAATATTACGAGATTCCTGATTGGATAAATTGAATGGTGACGTATGTTCTACCAAGGGATGTTTTTTCTCTCTATTAACTAGAATATGGGAGTAATCCAAATTTTAGAGAAATCTGTACCCTCTACTATTTCGAACTTAAAACATCTAACTATTACAAAGCCAAACTTCATAACAAGGTGAAACTACTTAATTATTGTGCTCCGTTTTTAAGTCAACCTTAAAAAACAAATTTAGTTTGATCAAGTAGATAGCCAGATGTAAATTGCATATTCTAGAAATATGTTCTGGTATAATTTACGATTTTTACGATTTTTGAAATTATTTTATTAGTGCCCCTATAAGACAAGAGTTGACAAAAATTCTTATCGCCTCATTGAAATAATATTACAAACCCTTACCATCATAAGGACTTTAGACCACAAACATTTTCCACCCTATAGATTGGATCACCTGTCTTTACTACCAGACGAACATTTATTCATAAATCTTACACCCCTAGGGCCAATAAATCTTATCAGGCCATCATATCACTAACCCTGAACACCCTTATCATCTGGGACCATTGGATCACATACCTTTACTATCCTAGGACGTGTACTACTATGATTTTCCTCATGATTCCAGTCGACCCCAGTGTAAATGGGTACTGAATAATTCATTTTTTCCCACATTATTTCGGTTGGTCCTGCTGTAAATGGATACTGAATATATCATCTTCCCTCATTATTGCAGTCGACCCCGCTGTAAATGGGTAGTGAATAAGTCATTTTCCCTCATTATTCCAGTCGACCCCGCTGTAAATGGGTAGTGAATAAGTCATTTTCCCTCATTATTCCAGTCGACCCCACTGTAAATGGGTAGTGAATAAGTCATTTTACCTCATTATTCCAGTCGACCCCGCTGAAAATGGGTAGTAAATAAGTCATTTTCCCACATGATTCCAGTCGACCCCGCTGTAAATGGGTAGTGAATAAGTCATTTTCCCTCATTATTCCAGTCGACCCCGCTGAAAATGGGTAGTAAATAAGTCATTTTCCCGCATGATTCCAGTCGACTCCGCTGTAAATGGGTAGTAAATAAGTCATTTTCCCGCATGATTCCAGTCGACCCCAGGGTAAATGGGTAGTAAATAAGTCATTTTCTATGTACTAGGGCTTACACAAGACTGACTGAAATGTAGGACTTCACGTTGTGTATTTTAAATAACTATATTACAGTGATTTACATAGAGGAAAAGATGGTTACAACCTCATGCCACGTTGTTGACTGTATGACGGCATGCTAGGAAGTGTCGAAAGCGTGGCTTTGGTACAAGTTCGTTTATTGTAGTCTACGTTGGGGACACCTTCAAGATTGCACAAATTTGGGGCGGGGGCGAATGGCACGTCTCTTGCTACGTCTCAAGGGAACAGTCTCTACTTGTGGAATAGAAGAGTTTGTGTCCGTAAAGAATTCCTTTGGTTCCGAAAGAGATACTTCTAAAGGATAAAGTAGGTGAATAGAGCGATTGGTAACACCATGTTTAGTCTGGATTGACGCAGCACGAATAAAACCATCAGTTCCATGAATTATATCCTTCACAAGAGCAAGTTTCCATAAACTTCGGGGTCGATCTTTATCATGCACTAATACCACATCCCCAATCTTTATGAGATTTGTTCTGGCTTCAGTCTTCTTTAACTGGTAGGTGTGCCTCTCTCGTAAAGTCGACAGATAATCAGATTTAAAGCGATTGAGAAAGTGGTGAAACACTGCTGCTCGATGTCGCATCACCTTGTTCAAACCATCATGAAGTCGGTAATCTTCGTCTACTTCAACATCAGGATCAATACCCGGATTAGGTAATGCGGTAATATAACCGTATAACAGTTTTGATGGAGTAATCGGTTCAGGATCTTGAACACTCGTTGATACGTATATGAGTGGTCTGTCGTTCACAACAGACTGTACCTCTTTAACAAGTGTCTGCATTTCATTAAGATCTATGAGCGCTATACGTAACACCTTCTTGATTACCATTTTCACCACACCAATCAACCGTTCATACATTCCACCCCAGTGAGGAGATTTTGCAGGAATGTGCCTCATGTAGATAACTTTGTTGTTGGTAAGATGGTTCTGTACAGCTGGTTTATCCAAACAGTTAAAAAGCTTGGTTATTTCTTCATCAGCTTTCAGGAACGTGGCAGCGTTGTCACA